AAATTCTAAGCAAGTTTCATATATAATTTATTTAGATTCGATGCACGGTTGTGAAGTTATTAAATGCATGAAACTAGGGGGGTTTTCTGTAAAACTGCAATTCCCTGGAAATTAGCTAAATTCACAGAGACTGGAAAAAAACATCCACGGGCTGAAACTGGTGCAAGTCTGGGCCAACTGGAAAATAAACAAAAGGGACGCTGCTGGGGGAGCGTCTCACCATGGGCCAAGGCCCAGTTCGGGCGAGACGGCAGGCTTAAGCTGGGCCTGGGAGAGGCCGCTGAGTCAACGTGAGGCGCAACGGAGGCGCTGACTGCGTGCGCTCTGCGCGTCTCTGAAGAAAACGGCAGCAGCAGGTTGAGGCAGCCCGGCAGGGGACAGGCGCGGCGGCAGCTGGTGCTTCCGGCGACACACAACGACGGGACGGCCACCGGATGCGAGGCGAGGTCGTCGGGGACCGATTCCCAGCAGTGGGCGGCGGATCCGGCGAGGCAAGGTCTTGGCGGCGGCGACAGCAAGAACGAGCACACGGGGTGGCGAGGAACTTGGCGGGGTGGCGGAGGCAGAGACTCGTTCGATGCAGAGGCGAAGCAGCAGTCACAAGGTTCGGAGAGGACGCGAGGATTCAGGCGGGGATGGACGCTGACGACGTGGACGAGGCAAAGGCCTCCGGCAAAGAAGCTCCAGGCGGCGGCGCTGCAAGATCGGGGACGTGAGCGTCCAAGGCGTCGGGTCTCTGCTGGAGAAGGGAGAGGCGAGAGAGATTAGAGAGGTTGAGAGACAGGAGCACAGCGAGCAAATGAAGGGAAGGCAGGGGCATGGCGACCTGGTCCTCTGTGGCCTAGCTGACCGTGGTGGTGGTGAGGCACAGCTCCGGCGCGCTGGGCAAGGGGCTTCTGCTCCGGCGATATACGGCGGGGCCATGGCGCTCGGCTCAGGAAGGGCACGGGAGGAGCTTGCGCCGACGAGCTTCCCGGTGACTGGAAGGATTTTTTTTGGGTGGCTGCGAGTGATGGGGATCGAGGAGGGACATGGGGGAGCGCTGGTTGGTGGAGAAGGGGATCTGGGAGGATCCCGATGAGAGAGTGGCGGTGGGTGAGGAAAAAGAGGGAGTTGGTCTAGGGTTAGGCTAATATATATAGCGAGTAGGATAGGTTAGGGGCTATCTCGTCCCTCCGATCATAATCGGACGAACGAAAAAAAATATGTTAGGAAGTCCAATTAACAAAACGAATACGTTTTGTAGATGTTTGGGGTTGATCCGGACACAGCGGTAACTACTGTCCGGGTCGGGTCCGGGACAGATTTCGAACGCGCGCGGGAGGAGGTCCGCGGGCTGACGAGAGAGGTTAGGTAGGGCCTAGCGGTGAGAGGTAGTGCAGAAAGCAAAGGGCTGAGAATATAGAAGAGGAGAGGCCCGGCGACTGTTTTCGGAGACCGAAAACGTCCGACGTTTGACCGACTATATGCCGCTATAGTTATCCGTTGTGGCATCAAACGATCTCCGAATGCGATGAAACTTGACAGGCGGTCTATCTACACTATAATAAGACCACACGTCAACTCTCATCCCATTCCGAAAACATTCTCCGGCCACTTATAAAATACTATTTCGGACATGCCGCGGGCGCGTGCAAGTGTGTCTGGGCTCAAAACGGACAACAGACGGAACTGGGAGAACCCGGGCTAATGCAAGTTTTGAAAACATGATGATGCAATGCACATGATGACATAGCAAGATGCAACATGCAAGCGAATGACACGGCAACGACAACGAATAACTGGAAGACACCTGGCGCAACGGTTTCGGGGTGTCACAATAACAAAGCTCGAAAAAAGGTATGAAAGCGGAGCCCTCCCACCGGCAAGGGCCGAGATCCACTCCGCCTCCATAGCCCTAAGGCCACCGGAGACGGGACGGACCGGCGCCGACGCCGGTGGGAAGTAAAGAACCCTAGTTTTGAGGAGGCGGCGGCTAGCTACGTTGGAGGCGGCGTCTGGGTACGTTCCTAAGTTGGATGAAATGTGTTTGATAGAACATAGTACAAAACAAAAAAATTCTTCCAAGAAGTTTAAGCGGAAGGAGTTTTTTCTTCAAAATCAAGTAGAAATGAATCCTATGAAAAAATCCTAATGATTGAGATCATGCAAATCAAACAATCACCATAGGGGACGTACTAAATGTTTACTTTTTAGTTCTTACTAGCAAAAGAGCCCGTGCGTTGCAACAGAAGAGAAAACATAACACACGCTCTTAACTCAACAACCATCACTCAAGACCACAATAGGTTCATCTCCTTTATTTTTGCGAGGCATCATATTTGTGTTACCGCTTATCCTCCTTCTCACTCTCGTCGGCGATGGCCTCAGTGTTCACACAAAACAACAAAAAAACGTGTGTTAAATATGGTTAATCCCTCTCCCTCTCTCTCCCCCTCTCTCCTCCCTCCCCCTCTCTCTCTCCCTCTCTCTCTCGCTCGCTTTCACTCACTCTCGCGATGAGAAATCTGTTGTTTTCCCCTGCGATATTTTTCAGAGGTATGCATGTGTAGTTATCGATATTTTATTTTCCCGTATATGGTTATAGTGGGGTGTTTATTTGCAATCTGGATCGCCGCCGGTATGAAAAAAATGAATCTTGCGCTATAAATTATAAGTTTGCTTCCATAACAATATTTTAAAAATGTTTAACAGGTAAAATTAACATGATATTTAGATTCCACACATTTTTCTAATAAAATTTCATATATAATATGTTAAAATTGAAGTTACGGTTTAAAAGATACAAATAATTTAGAAAATCATTTGGTTTGACTCAAATATATTCCAAAATAATATTTAAAAATACTTAACAGGTAAAAATAATCTCATATTCTACATATTTTTCTAATCAAATTTTATATATAACATGTTCAAATCGGAGTTACGGTTTAAAAGACATGGATAATTTTAAAAAGCATTTGTTTGACTTAAATATGATCCACGGATGAATTACCTAAAATATCAGGGGGTGTTTCGAAAAATGTAAAATAACGGTTCGGGTGTGACTTAAATCCGGACGGCGGGTTGATTTCAAGAAAAGACAGAGACTTTTGTGTAAAATACGAAAATAACGATTTGTTTTAACTTAAAACAGAATTGCAGATTGAATTCTCTGAAATAAAGGGACTTTTCTGAAAAATGCCATGATAGACGAAAGAAACCAAATTTGCTTTATTATTATATATTAGCAAAAGAGCCCGTGCGTTGCAACGGGAGAGAAAACATAACACACGCTCTTAACTCAACAACCATCACTCAAGATCACAATAGGTCCATCTCCTTTATTTTTGCGAGGCATCATATTTGTGTTGCCGCTTATCCTCCTTATCACCCTCGCCGGCGATGGCCTCGGTGTTCACACAAAACAACAAAAAATGTGTGTTGAATATGGTTAATCCTAAGGCGTCTCTCTCCCTCTCTCCTCCCTCTCCCTCTCTCTCTCACTCTCGCGATGAGAAATCTGTTGTTTTCCACTGTGACATTTTTCAGAGGTATGCATGCACAGTTATCGATGTTTTCTTTTCCGTATATGGTTATAGTGGGGTGTTTATTTGCAATTCGGATCGCCGCCGGTATGAAAAAAATGAATCTTGCGTTATAAATTATAAGTTTGCTTCCATAACAATATTTAAAAAATATTTAATAGGTAAAATCAACATCATATTTAGATTCCACACATCTTTTTATTAAAATTTCATATATAATATGTTAAAATCAAAGTTACGGTTTAAAAGATACAAATAATTTAGAAAATCATTTGGTTTGACTCAAATATATTCCAAAATAATATTTAAAAATACTTAACATGTAAAAATAATCTCATATTCATATTCTAATATCTTTCTAATCAAATTTCATATATAACATGCTTAAACCGGAGTTACGGTTTAAAAGATATGAATGATTTTAAAAAGTATTTGTTTGACTTAAATATGATCCGCGGATGAATTAGCTAAAATATCAGGAGAGGTTTCGAAAAGTGTAAAATAACGGTTCGGGTGTGACTTAAATCTGGACAGCGGGTTGATTTCAAGAAAAGACAGGGACTTTTGTGCAAAATACGAAAATAACGATTCGGTTTAACTTAAAACAGGACTGCGGGTTGAATTCTCTGAAATAGTGAGACTTTTTTGAAAAATGCCATAACGGACGAAAGAAATTTCATTTGCTTTATTATTAGGTAAAGATAAAGATAAAGATATAGGTAAAGATAAAGATACAAGTTTGAGAGAGGCAAGCAAGCAGCGTGGAATCGTGTGCACCACGGGCCCTAAGATCACTCACAGTACATCAAGCCCAGTTTAGAAGGGCTCAGTACATCAGGCCCAGTTTAGAAGGGCTCAAAGCCTCAGATAAGTTCCAATAAGCCATCAGCCCAACAACAGCACCAAGAAACAACGCACTCTCGTCTTCTCCGTCGCCGGGGCAACACGCCGCCGTGCCGCACCCTCTCGTCCCGTCCGTGGTTGTCACCGCGCTTTCCTACCTCACCCGCAGGCTTGCGACTGCGTTGTTCGGCGGCTATCTCGGTTCCAAACTAAGTAAGCCTCACCTTCCCAGCTGTCTTTTTTAGCGAGGGTTTGGTGCCCTACGCATTGCTTCGCATCTCTGCAGCCGCTAGATTTTTCCAGGCCCTGATTTCAGTTGTCTTGAGAACGCTCAATTGTAGTATGTATCTTCAGTGCTCCTGCTCTTCTATTTTGCCCCCAAATGAACTGGTTTGACAGATGATACTCTAGTGGGAAAAATAGGTTTATTTGTTAAGAAGTTTTGGTGTAGTTTCAAGACCAACCGGAGCCAAAGAGCATACAGGATGTATCATAAAGGGACGGTAGCTGAGACGTAGATCATGTTGCGGCGAAAGCTTAGTTCAGTTCTGCTGAGCATTGGATAATCTAGTCTAACTCATGTTTTCCCTTTTGCGCGAAACTGAACCTTGCAGCAGGAGGAAAGGACCCATGGCGATGGAGATGAGAGCCCGGGAATCTGTAGGCATGTCGGAGGACCTGACACGGGCAATCGCACCTTATGCCACAGCCCTGCACGACGCTTTCCTCCACTCCCATTGCTCCTCGTGTTTCAGGAAGTTGCCATCGCAACCTCCATGTGCCATGTCTTGTATGCTCTGCTGCTCCGTTCAGTACTGCTGCTCAGACTGCTTAAGCTCGGATTGTGAAGTGCATTCTTCTTCTGGTGAATGTTGTTTCTTCGCCGATCACCTCAAGAAAGCATCTTCATCCTACGTCACTGAAGGCACGAGCGATGTCCGTGCTTCTCTTCGACTTCTTTATTTTCTCGAGATGCATGGTCTTGTCTCGTCAGATTCAATCAACCGGTCCAGCAGAATTGGTGGGCTTTCAACAATTGGTATTCGGGAAGTTCTGGAGGAAGGTGGGGAGGTTGCCGAGAGGATACTGAAGGGAAGCATGCTGATGTCGTCTGCCAGAAAAATGAGGACGCAAACATCTGTTGTTTTCTCCAATGGCCTGACAGTAGAGATAGTGGCATTATGGGCAGTGATGATCAACAGCGTTGAGGTGCAGATTAGTGACGAGTGGGATCTGGGGATTGCAGTTTATGGACCTAGTTTCTCATGGTTCAATCATAGTTGCTTTCCGAATGCTTCTTATAGTTTTGTGTTGGCTCCACCCAATGAAGATTATGTTTCAGACAAATCAGAATACCGTGCAGTCCCTGCTAGCAAAGGGGTTGCTCCAGATGCGGTAAAGGAAATCAAATTATTGTTTTGTTTGGTGTATTCTGAACTTTTGCATCCACTATTCTTACAGTCAATCAACTACTTTGAATATCAAATATTTCTGAATTTAGAGTAAGTTATTTGACTTTTCATTGGTTGCAGTGGCATGCTTGGCAATTTGAAGAGGGTTCTACTCATGGTACTTCTTTCATGTTCATTTATTCTGCAACGTGAGGCAACATTCTGAACCTTTACCCTGACTCTCTTTAGCACTTGGCAAATATGGCCCAAGAGTTGTTGTCCGTTGCATAAAGCCAATCAACAAGGGGGATGAAGTTTGCATAACATACATTGATCTTCTCCAGACCAGGGTACTGTTTTCTTGCTAAATCCTAGTTTGCATGAGTTTCCAATGCAAGTACTCCCTCTGTCCGGTGAAGAGTGTACATCTAAATTTTTTAGGACAAATTATGGAGTTAAGTAAAAAATGCATTGGAAAGGTGCAAGCCACCATCTCTCTCCTCTTTAATTACCCAGCCCCCAATGAGCTAAGTGCATGTGGCAATTAAGAAGACCATGTGTAGATTGCTATTGGTCTTGATTACCGTGTGATGAAAGAGAAGTAACTTTTTCTACTTTAAAGTGAATTTGAAAGATAGAAGTACACTCTTTTGTGGACAAATTTTGAAGCTAGATGTACACTTTCCACCGGACGGAGGGAGTAGGTCAGTTATCTTAATATATTATTAGTTGTGCAGAATCACATGAAGGCTCAATTGTTCCATGAACTGTAATAATGGGCTATAGTGGTTCCCTTAGTATTAGTTTTTACATCAAAATCCCCCTTAAGTTTAGATAACCATGCTTAATATAAATCTTTATGCACTTGGCGAAACTGTGTTTCTTGTCGAAAAACAGGGCCACCCTTGTCCATTTTCATCCAAAACAGAAGCACATAGATATTGTAATGCAGTTTAGTATTATAGCTTCTAACTTTCTGTTGAGCTGCTGCTGTCGGTAGATGTTCCGATCACTATTTAGTCCTACCATATGCGAAAGCTATATCTGAATGAAGAACATTGTCCAGTACTCCTAAGCCACAGGAGCACAACCAACAAGCTCCCAAAATTCTAAAACTAATTAAGTCAATTAACACAGTATACACCTGTCATGCTACACAATTGCATGTTCAAACCCAACCTACACATCAAGAAAGAAGAAAAAAGACAAATTCTGCCATGAATAGCACCATCTCCTGTGAATAGCATTTCTCTTCTGCTTTTCTTAGTGGCGGTGTGGAATTTGCATTTTGAAATTTCATGACATACTATAAATACACATTGTATCAATCCACCCGATGTTTCAGAATTTTTTAAGACAGTTTGGTTGTGCTCCCATGAGGTCGTGGGTTCAAGTCCTGGAAACAGCCGCTTGCAGAAATGTAGGGAAAGGCTGCATACTATAGACCCAAAGTGGTCGGACCCTTCCCAGGACCCTGTGCAAGCGGGAGCTACGTGCACCAGGCTGCCCTTTTTTAGTTTGGTTGTGCTCCCATGGCTTGGGATCATGCGAGCTCCACAAGCCTTGGGAGCACCAGATATGTCTTTCATCTGAATGCACACCTACTTCAGGATGGATTTGCACATTATATGTTTCCATTTAGATTGTGTAGCTGTGTTATATCTTGGATCTTTTTATTATGCACACTGACTGTCTTGGTTAAGTTGTTGTGGTAGACAATGTTTTCCGTGCCATCCATATAGTAGGTCAATATGCTTTAGGATATTACATAGTCCCTCCATTCTTGAATGCATAACGACTTAGGAGTTTGCACTTCTAACAAGTTGCATGTGGAAAAGAGTCAAAGACTGCATGACCCCTCTTTATTAGGCCGGTTATTACCTTTCGAAGTTGTCTGTTACTCTAGTCGAAACTAATAAATGGAATTTGAAATAGCCAAAGGGAAGGGTATGCAAGGGAAAATCTGGTGTAAAGTTATCCCGAAATGGTAAAATGACATATTTAGGAACAAAATTTTGAACTAGAATAACATGCGTTCAAGAACTGCAGGAGTTCAGGTGTGTTGTTTCTTTTTTGGTTTTCTAACTGTTTGCACATCAAATAAAGTAGGAGTTACTTTTATTTCCCTTCTTTGTCACACTCATAAGTTAGAACTTCCCTTTACAGGAAGCAAGGCATTCAGATCTTTGGTCAAAGTATAAGTTTATTTGTTCTTGTGAGCGCTGTACTGCATCACCAGAATCATATGTGGATTTTATTCTAAACGTAAGAGCCAAACCCCGGAGAAAATATTGTCATCATTTGCTTGCAATTTACCATGTACTATCTTTATGCACTTCTAGTATTGTGCCATATTCCTTTCAGTCAAATAAATTTGATTTTCTACTCTGCTATGAAGTTCTTTCTAGCCACCCATATTTTCAGACTCTTATAAATTCCAGTGGCTTGTATGTTTGTAAACCTTGGTGTGTTATCTCTATCAGTGTGACCCAGCTTACATCTTTGAACTTCTCTCAGATATCTCTCATCCCAGCACAACTTACAAAAAACTATAAATTGACCAGTAACTAGTATCAGTGACATATACATTAACTAGCAACCCTTTTTAGATAGTCGCATATGTTGCAGGTTCCTGACAGTTTATGCTTAACTTATATCTTCTGTGAGCTGACATGGTACCCTCATCAGTGTGACTTCAGGAACTTGAATTCACCAGAGAATGCTTTTATATCTCTAGCAATTGAGGATTTTGATGATATCTTACAACAAGCAATATCGGAATATTCATTGGGTGATGATCCCAAAGCCTGCTGTGCTATGATTGAAAGTTTGCTTTCTGAAAACTTGATGGGTGATCTGCAGCAAGTGGAACTTTCACAGAAAAGACATATACTACATCCTCTTCATCATATATGTCTAAGAGCTTATATGACGCTTGCCTCTGCTTACCGCTTTCGTGCCCTAGAATCCAGTACTGATGGCTTTAAGGGAGAAAACAGTGCCGTTTCTTTCAAAATGACCAAAGCTGCAGTAGCTTATTCATTTCTTCTTGCAGGAGCTACGCACCATCTGTTCTTATCTGAACGTTCCTTTATGACCCCGCTGGCGCATTTTTTGTTAAGCGCTGGACGGTCCATGTTAGATTTTGTTGAATGTGTAAAGGGAGAGAGAAGGAAAAATGTATCCCAAGCTAAGTTTAGCTTTGCTTCATGTTCAGCAAGTTCAGGAACACGTGATTCCATGCAGTACCATCAATTCAGATCAACTTGTGAGGAATTTGGCAAGCACATGTTATCGTTATCATTGCAGTGCTGGTCATTTCTTGTGCAAAGCTCACCCTGCCTGGAAAAGATAAAAAACCCTATAGACTTCAGTTGGCTTGGGACAGCAATATTTCAGTCTCTCCATCTTTCTGAGGTAGATTCTGCCAACCTTTCTTGTACAGATGGTCTAGAAATTTTCACTGAAGAGCAGAAGGGGTGTATTCTCAGCTTAGCTATTTGCTGCATCACCTTTTGCAAATATCTTGCAAATATATGCTATGGTCCACAACATTATTTGGCAAATCATGCTAAAGATCTGCTTGAAGGTATCAATCTTGCACAATGAAGTTGATGTTTGATGTGCTCCATCGTCATTATCGATGGTTGTGGAGCTTACTTTCAAGATGGTCGCAGGATTAAATGAATATTTTCTTTGTATGTAAGCACAGTTTGTCAATTCTGTTTATTCCGATGAACAAAGTTAATGACAATGAGATTTATTGGAAAAGTCTCTGACATGCTTTCGCGGCAGTGGTTTCACTTAAGATTCATGCTTCTGTATAATGATGTAGCAGTGTTGTCTCGAAGTCTGTTCTAGCACTCTGTCACGCTAGCATTCTATGGTTGATCCCTGGACCATTCTATTGGTAACCTCTCCCATTATGCAAAAGTATTCACATGCTTTCTGGTTGAGATGCAAATTCTTTTTGTTTATCGGACATGGAAGAATCATCATCAAACTGGGCCATGAAGATCTTCACCTTAAGTAAAGGCGCAAACAAAGCTATTATATTTCTACTCTTTAGTTGGTGTCAGTTATTGGTGGCTGGGGGAAGGGCAGGGAGGGGATACTCTCATTTCATAGATGACACAAGTTGCATGTTGTTGGCAGCGCAGTGCAGAGTCGTGTCATCTAGCAATAATTGAAGATATTTTCTAAAATAATTTTTGTGAGAAACAATTTACCTTATTTTTGGTCACAAGTTCAAGTATGTCTTGGTTCAATGAACTGAAAACGACATGTTTGCCTCTTTGATCAAGAATAAAATTATTTCATTCTTTTTGGCAGCAAAACTGTTAAATGGAGGATGCTCCTTGTAAATGTATTCCTCAGATGAAAAGAAAATTGTTTTAGACATGAATGACATGGTGACAGTTTATTGCTATGTTTGAACAGAGATATTTCACTCTACACAATTGGATGAAACGAATTCATCCTGCAAAGTTGCCTTGTGTCACCTGCATCTTTGCAGATGGACAGATTTTGTGGGTTGTTGTGTACAGTAAACCAAACATGTTTATTTTTCTCATTTTGTCAATTTTAGTATGATAAGTGATTTTGGCCCTACTTCTGTATTCTTAGTTGGTTACTTTCTAAGCCTGATTTGATCTTTGCTGCAGGGATTCCTAAGCACACTGGAGAAATGTGTAAGCACATGAATGACTGATCATTCTGATACCAGCCAGCACAGTTTACTGCAACTGCAACTGCAACTGCAACTGCTGCTTTCTCTTTAACCTGCTCATTATCATGCCAACAGTAACTTGTAGCTTATCTCTAGAACTTCAAGCTTCTATATGTTTCAGTACCACTTAGTTAGCTTCATTGTTTCAGCTAACGGGTTTAGCTTAGACATGTGTTTTACTGATAAGCTGAACAGCATAAATGATCAGAAATTTAGGTTCGACCACAACCACAAACACAGCAAATTTGGTTACTGAGAAACAGATGCTCTGCCGTAGCAGGTTTAATGGATGCCCACCAGAATAATTGTCAGAATATGCTTTGGCATCTTCCACTGCCTGCAGCATTGCTTCCACTGACCTAACCAATGGGAAGTTAAACTGTCCTCCATTAATGAGCCGGCGTGTCTATTCCTACCAGGCACCTTTCTGCTTAAAGTGGGTGTTGCTGATAATTCAGGAATTTCTCCTCTCTATCGTATCTCTCTCTCTCCCCCAAAGAAAGATCTTATGTGTCAACATTTTTCTAGTTGAAGGATATTCTGTATCGCATGGTATTCACGATGTGCTGCGTGTATAATGAATTCACGATTGATTTGTAGGCACTTATTTGATGCTGAGCTAATGGTCTATACCTGCATCTTAATTCTTAATTTTATACGAGGTTTTTTATAGATGTAGTGCTGATGCTGCAAACCATATGTTGGGAGTGAGCTTTTATTTTAACGGTGTTCTCTTCTCACAATATGGGTGTGCTATGTATGGTTTGTTTTCCCTTTTAGAACAGTTAAAATTTCACAGTTAACAGTTGTAGTGCATAAACCTGCTTTACTTTTGCTGAAAAACTATATATATAAATGAACTTGACGTAGGACCCATCCTTTCAATAAGGGGAGTGATATTTCCCATGTATGTTTAGTTGATTATACATTAACTAAAATAATATGGTGTGCATTGGAAATTTTGAATGATTGAAGGGTATATTTGTGGATTATTTTTGTTTTTGTGGGCACATGTCGCTGCAGTTCCACTTGTCCCTTGGTTACAAAAATTGCAAAAAGATCTCCACCAGAGAACAGAAGAAGTGCTTTCAGTCATTAAGTGTGCATGATATTAGCCACATAATTTCGATTGATGGAGCCTTGTTCTGATGCAATAATTTATTTTTCCAACTGCTTTGGTGTAGCTAGTTACCGCTATAAATACCTCCTACCGTATTGCTTCTTAGTAACACAGTGCAACCAAGCAGCTACTTGTGTTCTGTGTGATACATTTCTCTTTATTTTGAGATGGCAGGTGAGTATGATCGCAGCAGTTACGGAAGGTCAGGCACAGGCAGTGACGAAGGTGGGTACAACAAGACCAGCGAGGAAGACTATGGCCGCAGCAGCGATGAATACGGCCATGGTACCGGTGGTTTCAACAAATCCAGCAACGACACCAACACGGACGACTACAGTAGCAGTGGCGACTACAACAAGTCCAGCACTGACAATTTCACTGGCGGCTTGAACAAATCTAGCACTGATGACTACACTGGCGGTGGCAGCTACAACAAAACTGGTGCCGACGACTACAGTGCCGGTGGCAGCTACAACAAGTCCAGCACCGACGATTTCAGTGGCGGCCACAACAAGTCTAGCACGGACGACTATGATGGTGGCTACAAGAACTCCAGCGCCGATGCCGGCTATGGCGAAGGCGGTTACAAGAAACCAAGCACCGAGGACTCCTCCGCGTACAACAAATCAAGCATCGAGGAGGACTACAGCAGCGGCAAGAACACCCCCAACACTGATGACTACGACGGCAGTGGCTACAACAAGTCCAGCACTGATGACGACTATGATGGCTATAAGAAGCCCAGCGCCGACGAGTACAGTGGTGGCTACAGCAAGTCCGGCGCCGATGGGTATGCCACTGGTGCAGGCAAGACCGGCTCTGATGATTACTAGACAAAATCGCCGTGAAAGTGAGTGTGTTTGCGATGCTAAATACTCCCTCCGTAAACTAATATAAGAGCGTTTAGATCACTATTTTAGTGTTTTAAACACTCTTATATTAGTTTACAGAGGGAGTACGTATGTATGTGTGGTTGCTACTGCTACTGGTCCTTGCTAAATGATTTAGCATTTGTATTCTTACTCTTTTCTTTATGGTAGGGTTCGTTTATATGTATACTGATGTGATCCCATCATAGAGCCGCGGCTGTTGAGATGAGTGTGTATATGTACCCGTGTATAGCAGTCTTGCTGTCCATCTATGCGCCTGTACGAATGCGTAATACACTTTATCATGTCTGTAGCTGGATATAACGTTACTCCATCCGTCCCGAAAAGGTTGCCTTAGATTTGTCTAGATACATATAATCCTCGGTCATATTCCACTCCCTCCGTTTCACAATGTAGCGCGTATAAGGTCAAACTTTATAAACTTTGACCAAGTTTGTAGAGAAAAATATATACATCTAGAATATCAAATACATATCCTTAGATACATCACAAGACGTACTTCCATATTGTATATATTTTGTATTGTAAATATAAATAGTTTTCTTCATAAACTTGATCAAAATTTGTAAAGTTTGAAAGTCCTGCATATGTATGAACCAGCAAGATGCCCGTGCATTGCACGGGACATCAAGATGCATTTTTATTATAAAACACCTGTTGTGATTGATCCATGTGGGAGTAATTTCATGTATAAAAACTAATGATATCTCAAAAAAGAGGAGAGATAAAGTGAGGAGTGGGCGTGATGGTGATTGGTAGTCGGACTGAGCAGAGGCATGGGGATGGACGACGCCGGCAGCAGCCACCATGCCAGATTGTTCCAGAGTCTTTCTTTTTAATTGCTCAACAATGAGATTGTGGGAGATAAGAATGAATGAGGAAATGCCTTGTCTGCAAATATGGAGAGAGATGCGGGTATCTTTTTGTAAAATTGCCATAGTTTGCTTTCTATCCGCCAGATATTAGATTGGACGGTTATATTGCAAGATGATAGACATACTATTATCATCAACTCGTTTTTTTATAAAAGTAAAGATTTTGATTATAGTTATGCAAATGTGTACTACACCGTTTTTTTTTTCCTTTCGTGCTACTTTTTTGCAGTCGATTATTCATAGCTGAGCAGCAGGAAACTAGCTTGATGTGCAACCACACACGCGCGGTCTCCATATCAAACTACCCGCAAATGTGTACTGTATGAATAGTTGATTATAATTAAAAAATGTTGCAAATGATCACCGGTACAAAACACCTTAAACATAATAAAAATTAAATCAAGGCCTATGGACTATCGAACAAGCATTTCCGCCACCAGAGTGAGCTGTTGACACGCTGCTGTCGCCGCTCTTATATCAGAGCTGACCCGACCTTGTCGATGACATCACTTATAGTTATGCAAATGTGTAGCAAAAAGAAAAAATATAGGCTTACCAAACAAAGTGTGGTTTGCTGACAAAAGATCACAAATGACTTGGTATACATGGTCTACAGGTCAAAAATAATGCCTTGCTCAGTAAATGATTTGTTGGGGAATGTAGTAATTTCAAAAAAATTCCTACGCACACGCAAGATTATGGTGATGCATAGCAACGAGAGGGGAGAGTGTGATCTACGTATCCTTGTAGACCGACAGCGGAAGCGTTAGCACAACGCGGTTGATGTAGTCGTACGTCTTCATGGCCCGACCGATCAAGCACCGAAACTACGGCACCTTCGAGTTTTAGCACACCTTCAGCTCGATGACGATCCCCGGACTCCGATCCAGCAAAGTGTCGGGGAAGAGTTCCGTCAGCACGACGGCGTGGTGACGATCTTGATATACTACCGTCGCAGGGCTTCGCCTAAGCACCGTTACAATATTATCGAGGATTATGGTGGAAGGGGGCACCGCACACGGCTAAGAATATGATCACGTGGATCAACTTGTGTGTCTAGGGGTGCACCCTACCCCTGTATATAAAGGAGCAAGGGGAGGAGGCCGGCCAGCCCTATAGGCGCGCCAAGGAGGAGTCCTCCTCCTAGTAGGAGTAGGACTCCTACTAGGAGGGGGAAAGAAGTGGGGAGGGAGA